GGAGCACACTGGAGAGCGGGACGTCGCTATGACATCTTCAAGTACTAGAACCGCAGATTGTGTGGATCTGTTGATATTGAGGGAAGGATTCAAAGCAAAGAGGTCTGAAGGTAGAATCTTGTGCAAAGTGTGTCCACAAGGATCGGTCAAAGATCGATCGATCACGCACAACGAGAGTGAGCTGCACAAGGTGTCTGTATACGCTCCCCTCTTCTGCCTCTCCGCCTCTAGATCCTCGCGCAGCTCTTCTGCTCTTCTCTCCGCACTCTCCCTCGCCCCCTTCTCGGACGCCAGGGCTTCTCGCAACTCCGCGTTGGCCCTCTCCACGCCCTCGATGTCCTGCCGCAACAATGTCTCGTTCTCCCCTCTCGTCCGCCTCTCGGTCTCCAGCATCTGCAGCAGCTCGGTCTCTCTCTTCTCTGCTCTCTCCGCTCTCCGCTCCGCCCTCTCTCGGGCCCCAGCCTCCTCCCCACCCTGCCCGGCCCCACCCTCATTTCTCCGCCTCTCAGCCTCCAGCTCTTTCTCTATCTCGCGCACTTTACTCTTTTCGGCATCCAGCAGCCTCCGCAGCTCTTCTAGTTCGGCCTCGACGTTCCCCCGCAACTCCTTCTCCCTCTCCTCCCTCTCCCGCCTCTCTGTCTCCAAAACTGATCGCAGAGCCCGCCCCTCGTTCTCGAGCCTCTTCCGCAGCTCCTCCGCCTCCCTCAGAGCCGTCGCATCGACCAACGCCAGCTCTCCCACCCCGAGCTCTCGCTTGCCGTCTGCGAAACCCCCGACCCAGCCCAGACTCTCCAACCGAGAGGACACGCCGTTTCGGAGGTCGAAGCGCGTCGTGCGGTAGATGGGCACTTCGAGTTCTGTCACCCGAACCGCACGTCTCGCCCTGGCCATCATCTCGATCGTCTGGCGCGTTATCTCGTCGCAGTGGACCGCCTTACCCAGGTCCTTGCCGTACGTGAGCTCTCCCTTCGTGTTCGCTTGCAAGGTCGCTCCGGGGGCGAAGGTGCAAAAGTCTGTTAATTCCACGGAGCCGGGCTGCATACCAGTGTCTCCGGCGACGCCCTCCACGAGCCCCTGAAGCTCGCAAGAACATGGCGAGGCCCTAGGTTGCGCTGCGGCGAGGATGCTCCGCAGCCTCTCTAGCTCTGGGAAGACGTAGACCCCGTCGAGCTCCCACGTGGCCTCCAGGGCACAATGAACGCAGGTCTGCACCAGTTCGCCACCCCGCGTCCCGCGCACGGACGCCAGGCAAAGGTCCCTCTGGCAGTGTTCGCACCTCCACCCGTATCCGTCCTTTGCGTTCACCCACTTCTCGTAAGGCCCTCCTCGTTGCGTTGGAGGGTAACGGTAGTCCGCGCCGTCCACGCGGTAGTCTGCTTCGACGACGTTCTCGACGGGGATTCCCCGCTCCTGCAAGATCTCGATCCCCGCTGAAGTCCGGTCCACCGCTTCCTCGAGCCACGCGAGGGCGTGCGCGCAGATAGACTTTTCCTGTTCGGGGTGCTCCAGAAAATCCAGCGCCATCTTGATGACCGGCACCATGGCGGGGCCATACACGCCGCTGCCCTCTGCAAACGAAACGGATACTTTTCTTTCAGTACGTGTAGTAGATGCAATGCCACCGATCACGAGAGCTCAGCGCAGAATTGGCATCCCCTTCACACCCCTTTCTCTGATACTACAACGCCGTGCGGCTCCGAGGGACTTCTAGAGGGTGTGCGCACTTGGAACAGTTGGCTGTCGACGATGGTGCTGCTACCACGGGATTCTACACCACGGTCCGAGTTCGGACGAATCTCACTCTCAAACGGGACAGATACAGGTTCATCCCGCTTTCATATCTCACCTCGCTCGTAGAAAGCACTGGACCTATCTGCAGCCAAACAGTAGCGGAAGAGCGAGCTGGGGAAGGCAGCATTCACGGCGTAGGCACAGCAGAGGCCAGAGTTACGCACCTGCACGATGAGTATAAGATATTTGACATGTTCTCTCTGTAGAATAAGACCCATTCAGTAAAGACCCTTTTAGCTTTCTCATCCGTCACCCTAGGAAATCTGGACTCTGGAGCTCACCATGTGTGGACCCGTGGTGAAGACGAACCACCCTTCCTCTTGCGTGGCGGTGAAGTAGGGGATCTCCCAGAGGCCCAGCGTAGCCAAAGGTATGACGAGCTTTTTCGCCAGGAATTGGTTGACCGAGTCCTCTCCCCCCGTCTCCCGCAACTTTGCCATCAAAACCGTGGTCCAAACCCCTGGGATGATGATCCACTGCTTGGAAGAACCTCCAAACAGGTAGTTCAGGCTCTCCAGCAGAAGATCTTCCAGATGCATGGGAGCTAGGGTGTCTCTCCCACCCACATACCACATGCCGGTGGTGATGCCGATGTGAACCATAGCGAAGTTGAAGCAGAAACGCAGGTTATCCAGGAATGGTTGTCCTACGTTTCTACCTTTCTCTGTGGTCTTGGCATCAGAAGCATAATCTGGAAGCGCAAAGAGCGGATCCCCCAACTCAGAGAAAAACCCTAGCCCATCTACCACTGCGTCCGCTGTAGACCCCTGCAGCCGCCCCTCGTGGTCCGAACAGAATTTATCATAATCTTCCCCTGCAAGATCCCCCCTCTGCAAGACCCTAACGCCCTTGTCTAGAGGCTGCAAGTGTTGCGGGGTCACCTCCAACTTCATCTTCGCTCTCTTCTTTCTCTGACTCTTTACAGTACACCCCTCATCCTCCTCCTTGGCCCTCTGTGGAAGCGTCGGCTCCAGGTCTGCATCTCTCACCTTTATCAGGATGGCCCCATATTTCTCTGCTAGAGGCCTAGCTACGGTCTCCAGAAACTTTGCGAACCCCCCTACCGACACGAGGGTCAAGACACTCACGACCAAGCGGGGCACTTCCCCTCCATAGAACCTGCCAGGCGCCATTCTCGCCCTGATCTTCCTTTCTCACACTGAGACATGGAGGTGAATTTCCACGCATGCCTACTTAGCTATCGTTACCAGTGGTTATTCAGTGGTTACCGTCACGAAAACTTCGCTCTAGTACCCAAACGGGTCTTTACCGTAGAAATTCGTTCTAAACCGTCCGATCGGGCGCCAGATACGGCGCGTTGTTTTTCGAAAGTTCAAGGTCTGGAAGGTAGCAATCAGTCCTCACTTTACTTGGGAGAGACGCACTGGCTAGGCGCAATGGCGGCGGAAGCATTCCTCAAGCTAGATCAGAATGCACACAGGCTGATCTTTGACAAGGCTGGGGTCTCCATAGCCACGGTCAAGGAGGTCTGCAAGGATTGGCTGCTGGTGGGGAGGCGCATCTGCCGGAAGCTGACGTTGACTGGGAATGAGGTCATTCCTAGGGATGGAACAGCGGGGGTCCTGAGCTGCCTGCAAGATGTGAAGACCCTGGTCATAGAGAAAGGCTTCTTCCGCAGAGGATCCAAGCTGCGCCAGAGCACGTTGAAAAGCATCGTAGCTGGAGTGTCGTACAGGCATGTGCAGATAACCAGCCCCCCACTCAAGACCTGTCCTGGGCTAGTTGCGACCCTTCACAAACACCTCAAGATGGACAGGCTGAAATCCTTTTGTCTGTCTGCCCCGCGCATCCCGAAAGTGCTGCTGGCCTTCCTGATCAGTCAAGGGAGGTGTCTGGAGACCATCCTCATGGGGGGCACAGAGGATTGAGACCTCTCAGCTGCCTTGCAGTCGATTCTGATCAACCACAGCGTCAAGAATTTCGCTCTCAACGGACACACGATCTCCGACATACATCTCCTATCCACAGCCCTTCCCATGCTGTCGTACCTGAGCGTGGAGGTGTCCGGAGAGGTGGACTGGGCTGGTCTGAAAGGACTCAAAGAGCTGCAGCAGCTCTACGTCGCGATCAAAGGCTCCCACCCGTCCGAAGGAGGCCTGTTCGAGACTCTGGAAGACATGAAGGGCGTGACCGTGGTGGATGTGAAAAAATTAGGGTCAGACTGGGGTGAGGATCGGAATGCCAGCACCGTGGTCTCCGCACAGACCTTGGCACTAGCGTTTGCCGGGCGTGACATGCTAGAAGTAGACATTATGACAGGTAGTGCGGGTGTAGGAACCGTGGTCACGGATGGCTTGCTGGCAGCCATGTCGGGAACGATCAGACACCTGGTCATCGACATAGCCAACCTACACATGGCCGCGGATGCGGGCAGCCCCCACCCCATTACCGGGTGCACTGGTTACGACCTAGACAAGGCGTTGCGATCGAGGAGGGTCTATAGTATCTCTCTACGGTTGGGCAGGGAGTGCGGACCGTTGGATGAATGTGTCTGCCCTTCGGACTTGTTGGAGGTATTGGTGAGGGAGAGCGGGGCACGATTCGTCTTGTCCGACGCACTTGTGACTGCTTACGTTGGCATGAAGGAGGAGGATTTTAGAGCTCGTCTTGGAGATAATCCTAACGCGCTCCGTATAGAAGCTATGAAGAAAGCAGATATGCTGCGCTCAGCCTGTCAGGTTGCAAAGGTCTCGTTGCTGTGGCTCCCAAGGTCAGGGTCTCGAAACTCTAACCGAGACTTGGTGAGAGCATTCGGGGGGCACTGGATAGATCCTAGCTCCATATGACACTTGCCTCCTATCATCCCTTACTCTGTTCCACTTCTCGTGCACATGCCATGATCATTCAACACTGGTAATGCATCTGCTGAATGTGACGTTGCACCTCGAATGTTTCCGATTGGGAGATCACCGTACGATTCGATATTACTATACGCTGCGTTGCACATCGAAGTATTGCCGGTTGAGATTACTGGTTGTGAGTACTTTTCTTAGTATACTTTCTCCTCTTCATCATGAAGACAA